TCAAAGGGCTCCCAGGGTGGGATGAAGGTATGTGGGGTTTAGGGTTTAGGGTTTAGGGTCTAGGTAATTAGTAATACAAGGCATCCATAATCCTAAGTAAGGGTCAGGAGTTTTGGGGTTTGTGTTTAGGGTGCTAGTAGTTCCTGACACAGGGGACATTTGTGAAGAAACCTTAAACCCTACACCGACGAGGTCCTGCAAAGAAGAATCCCGCTTTTTGAGTCGACATGAATGATCCCTTATATACTTCCTGAGACTCCCCCATCTTTCAAGGCTTTAGGGCTTAAGGGTTAGGGTTTAGGGGTTTAGGGCTCCGGGTTTTGTTTCGGGGGTTGGGGGGTTTTCGAGTAAGGGGACTTTAGGATTCTGGGATTCCACTTGTTTAGGCTTGTATAGTTTAGGGGTCCTGGCTTCAGGGTTTCAGGATTTATCTGAACTCTTCCGTCCTTGCAAAGGAGACATGGGATCCCCGTCAGCCAATCTCATCCGGAAGCCCCTGTCTGCTTCGTAGCTGAAAGATTATTGCCTTGAACAAACATGTTTCAACTATATATATAAAAGTCCTGCATGCTCGTGGTCGCATAGAGTGTCAGTTATGTCAACATGATATGTTAAAGTACATCGAGAGTTTGTCAGTTTAACCACATGAACACGACATTGCCTTGCTGCGCGCACGAGTGCTTATTTCCGGTTTCTCCATTCACATGCGTTCTTTAGAACCGACACACAGCCAGCCTCCCAGGATCGTTGTCATCCTGGCTCCTGTTTTACACGCTGTAGCATGGGGCTTGTCGTGGATGTCGTTGCATGTGGTGGTGGCTCTGGAGTCGTCCTTGGCATCGCGAACAATCACAACATGCGCCATCTTAATAAGTCGGATCCCTATTGTAGAGCCCCTAAAAAAGCTGAAAACGTAACGCTGTTTTCTGAAACTCCCATATAGTCAATGTTGAGCCGCGGTAAACTGACTCTACATTGCATCCTACGCTTTTGGTACCATTTGGGTGGTTGTCAAAATTATGGTCCCGTTTTGGGTCCTTATTAATATAATGCGGCACCTATTATTTGGGGTACCCCAAAAAGGGACCATAATTTTGACAACTATTCTGCATACTGGAAGCCTTTGCTTTTGTCTTCCAGGAGGGCTCAGCCATGCGAATCAATGCCATCTGCCCGGGTTACTGCCGCACAGACATGCAGCCCGACAGGAACAAGTCCCAACAAAAAACCGTAAACCCCACCCATGTCCTAAACCCTAAAATCAGCCCTAAACCCTAAATCCTCAATCTCAAGGCTTCTCGAAGCTTCTTTGGTTTGAAGGTTTCATGGTTTCTGGATTTTGCGGCATCAGGGTTTCAGGGCTTCGGGAGAATTGCAAAGAAGGTTTCTGGGTTAGGAGTTTGAGTTTAGGGTTTAGGGATTAGAGTACAGAGTTCAGGGTTTAGGGGTTAGGGCTTAGGGTTAGGGTATAGGGTTAATGGTTTCGGATCTTTAGCACGGGTCGGAAGTTTCGTTCACAGGCACCAAGGACGGCGCGAATTCCCCCGCCTTGCGCCTCAAAGAAGAGCTGATGCCTACATTGCTTTTTGTGGTTTAGGCTTTAGGGTCTAGGCTTTAGGGTTTAGGGTTTAGGGTTTAGGGTTTTAGGGCCTAGGGATTATAGGGTTTAGGGTTTAGGGTTTAGGCTTTAGGGTCTAGGGTCTTGGAGTGGCAACCCTAAAGCCTAAACCCTCTTTAAGACCCCTTACCCTAACTCGTCTCCATCAGCTTTCGAAGGCCCTGCTTCGCAAACTACACAGGTAGCTATAAGGGAGTTTCCGAAAATTAGGGTACCTTATTTTAGGGGTCCTTATGATAAGGATCCTACTATTTAGAGTACTATATCAGGGTCCCCTATTTTCGGAAACCCCTACAAGGTTGCGGGTATGGGTCCGAGACCCCGACTACCGAATCACTTCCCACAAAACTCTGGATCCCTCCGAGCATGTTTTGCCGGAGCAGTCCCTGGCCCACCCCGAACACAACCCATAAACCCTAAACCTTGAGTCCAAACCAATAATTTCCTGCACCACATCGTCGATTCCCTAAAGCCTTGAGGTACCAAAAGACACCCCCAAAAGATCCCTCATAGGAACCCTGAAAGCCCTTTAAGGGAGCCCTTCAAGGACCCTATGGAATACTACAGATCCCTTAAAGGCACCCTTCATGGAGCCCAAAACCCTAAACCCTGAACCCTAAATCCCAAACCCTAACTCGTCAAAGACCTCATCTCAGCTAACTGTGGGGTGTCGCTGTCTGCCAAAACTCCAGCTGCCTGGCGAGGGCTGCACGGGTCGTGGCACCCCTCAGCAGAG